TATTTGAAGTGTTTGTTCAACAATTTAACTGGAGGAGTAGAGGCATCTTGTTTGTCTTGAAACCCTGTTCTGGCATTTTAAAGAGCATTCCTTTTGGGTGCAAGCAAATGTACTGTGTAACGCTAAAATGGTATTTCAAACAAAAGAAAAAAAAACCCTACTCTGTGCCTCCTTCATGGTCATGTATGTTAACACTTTTCCTTTAAATATTTTGATAAAAATGTAGCTTGAACAGTTAGTTAGTTACATAAGCTTCTGTACCAAGCAAAGAACTCATTTGACGAGCTGTAAGGTACAGAATTTTTTTATACAGCGCTCAAACAGCACACTGTAAAATGAAGCACTGTGCAGTTGCTACAACATATTTTATTTGATAGATTTAGAGCTGTGAGGAGCCTAATCTGATTTTATGCTAAATATTTCAACCACCATTAAAATTCAGCGAACCTAAGTACTCGGCAAGTGATTTAAAGCTGAAGTGATATCAGGATAAAGTCTGCTGTTATACTTAGTAACATCTGCAAGACTTATGAGCCAGCCAGTCAGAAATGTGGAGACCTACTCATTCCACACTGAAGTGCTGTGTTTTACTGCACTGCTGTTCTACATTAATAGTTTTGTCTTTCTGCAAATGAACAACAATAATAAGAATAATAAAGAAGGTTTTGGGGCATGTTTTCAGTGTTCCTTCTTTTAATACTTCTTATCCCAAAATTACAGGGCTTACTTGCATAAGCTTGGCTTTCATTGTGTGGGGAACGTTAGTCGTTCACAGGTAATGGACAATGTTCAAACTCCTTAAACTTAAAGCACATCATAAGAGAATTTGTGCTGACCTGAAGATTTCTATAGATCGGTTGGAACGATCATTTAATCAGCTGCAGGAGGGAGAACCAGACCTGTTAGTTGCTGGTACTGGGATGAAGGCTGCAATTCCCCATCTCCTAAATTGTGATCACCAAGATAAATCCAATCTACTTTCATAACTGCAGTTTCAACCAATACACTTTGAAGAAAACTATTTCTTCTAATGCAAGCATGGCCAATTCAACCTGAACAAGCAGCCAGAACCCTCAGAGGTCACGGTCTTTTTCTGTTCGAGATGTTCCATTTGCCTCCAGGAGGATCTGTGCTGATTGTCCTTGAAGAAGCGACATTTTCAGGTACGCATGAATTTCCCTATTCTTTGTGCTAACATCCACAGATCTGCAATAATGGGATTTTGCCTATTAAAGTCAGAACTTCCAACAGGCTTCAACAGGAATTGAACTTTTGGTGACGTTCTGTTTTTCATTATGGCCTTCTCTCTCTTTGGAAATGACACTTTGTACTTGATGGTATTCATCCTTATTCCACACCTCCAATTAATGTTCTGGCATCGCATGTCTGTCCTGAATCCAAGATATGCCAACTAGATTACCCTGCATTTACTTTGGTTTTATGTGAGCACAAAACCCCGACAAGAATTTTTTTCCCTTAAAAAAATAAAAAAAAGGGTTCTTTTTACCCTAAAACCAGTCTCAGCTATGACCTAGAGAGTATATGTAAGATTTAATGGTAAATGGACACAGCTGGGAAAAAGAACAGCTGCCTTCCATCTTCAAAACAGCTGTCTAAGGATGGTAAAATGGGAATGCTTTGAAGTAGAGTCAAACATTGGGTGTCAGCTCTCCCTTTGCAGGGATGTCTATGTCCATTTAAAGGAATTGGCAAAATTCCACGGCTTGGTCTTTTCTCCACATACAAAGTACAGACAACCCCCTGCTTAACGCTGTTCCACTTAGCACTATTTTGCTATAACACTCATTTGAAATTGATACCTGATTTCACTTAGCTCTCAGCAAGTTTCGTTATAATGCTCGCTGTCGCCATCTTGGGTCATTAAAAACAATTCTGGTCGCCATCTTGGGTCATCAAATACTTTTGGTTAATGCTATTTTTCAGGACCCAATTAAGAGCGCTAAGCAGGGGTTGCCTGTATGTATAGGGATAGACTTATGCATCTGACATAGAGATGTGACACTCCAGAAAGGTAAATGATGGAACTAGTGCCAATTTGATTTCCTTTTGGAGGTTTCCCCAGTAACCCTTTTTCAAATGGGAGAACAAAACCAAGATTATATTAAAAAATCAAGTGGCAGGCAGTCTCTCTGAGCACAGACTGGTCTGATGTCTCACTTCTCCACTGTGGGCCCTTTCTAGTTTTCACAGGAAAGATGGTAGGCATAGACTTCCAAGAACCTCCTTCCCTGTTGTTTCCGTGGCAGTCACAGGGGCTAGAAATATCTGTTTTCACTTGTATCATTTTAAGATATGAATAAGGATGTGTGTGTGTGCACGTGTGTCCAAGAGAAGGGAGGCAGGAAATGAACCCGAGTCCCCTACCAGCACTGGTGTTGGCAGGATCCATGCTCTCCATCTGCAGCTCAGGGGGAGAGGAGATGGCAGGGCTTACTGCTGCAGACTGTATGAGTTCAGGAACAAGCTTCCAGCTGGCATGCTGCCCTTTTGGCTGCACTTACTTCATGAGATTGGGGAGGAGGGACTTCTTGTCCTGGACACAGTTTTTTCTATACGGCCTTGTTCCTTTGCTGTTGAGTAGAGCAAGAGCAAGGCAATGCTGCTGCAACCCAGGCTGCAGCGGAAACTGCACTCTGCTTACAGACCTGGCTGAGCTTCCCAACAGACCCTTGGAGGTGTTGGTGATGAGGGAGATGGTGGAGGCCGCAGGGCCTAACAGGAGAGTTGTTTCCACTCATCCTTGGCTTTTCACAGCCTAATTGTTGAGAAGCCCAGTACCAGTCCCTGCAAGCACCTCAGAAAAGGAAGTGGAGCTTTAAGGGGCAGTGGCTGCATCGACGTGAGGCACAGACTGTGCAGTAGCATCACATGGCATGAAGCATGCTGTCGTGCAGTAGTAACAAGCTACTGTGCAGTAAGCATCACTAAAAAGCAATTTGGGGATGCTACTGCGCAGTAACACTAGTTACTGTGCAGTCATTTAGTACTTGTGTATGCAAGTATTACTGAGTGATACCTAGAGCACATCTTATATGCAGAACAAAGGGAAAGAGGGGTAACCTGGTTCTGCACTCTGAGCTTTTGAGTCTTTGGATTGTGCTTGGACACTGATAAATTAAGGCTACTTGGCTATGCAGTGACTAATCAAGACAAGTACTTGATTACCAGTCTTTAGGGTATCCAGGTTGTAGCCATAATGGTCTACAGGAAAAAGCAATTGGGGCTCATGGTAGAGGTGATATCTTTTATTAGACCAACTTAAAAAAAAAAAATCAATTGCAAGCTTTTGGGCACAAACACCCTTCATCAGGCATTGGAGAAGAGATTGTGTTTGTGCCTGAAAGCTTGCAACTGATTTTTTTTTTTTTTTTGTTGTTGCAAAAATCTAGTTGGTCTAATAAAAGATATCACCTC